TATGTTATTGGTTCTCTGGAATTCTTATTTTGTTGCCCCTAACGGTGCTATAAAGCAATAATCCACTCGAGGCCGTGCGTTACAGTGAATTTATTTCATGTAAGGGGTCTAAATACTATACCCTTAAGTCCTCGACTATGGTAAAAATCACTAAAACACACAGCCTTGAGTGGATTATTATTTTGATGGCAACATCAATGTAATAAAAGACAATTTATAATAATAATAGTCACAATAAACACTTCTTGTACTAAGTACTATAGTCTGTTACTGTTGCTAAGCAACATTAAATTAGGTGGCAGATTAGAATGCAGTTCATCCAATCAGAATTCAGTGTTATTTTAGCATCAATTAGAAATTATAATAGTTTTTATTATTAGTTTGAATTATTTTATATATTTTAAAAATAGTGCATCTGAACTAAATAAAAATAAGAAAAAAAAGTTGTTTTGTCATTTATTTTAGTTAACATTTAAGTAACAAAACAATGTTTTTTATGGTTTTCTTTTTAGTTGACTATAACCCTGTCAGAATTTAGAGTCCAAACATCTGTTTATAATATATAACTGACAGCTATGCTCATCATAAACATCTGGAAGTGTTTGATGGCGATACAGGAATAGAAACGGCTACTGGAAATAGTTTGAAACTATACAAAAGTCACGATAAATTTAATAAAAGATCCCTGTGATATAAACTGCCATGGAATGACACAAGAAACGACTACCGAAAACGTCCTTAAAAAATCCTCTACCGATTGCGTATGTTTGTATATGAAGTTATCATTATCTTCTAATCTAGAAAACATTTGCAAAAAAACCTATCGGTCCTGTAGTGCACGAGGTTGTGTTTTTGCTTTCCAGACATATTTTTTATTAAACACTACAGGATTTATATGTGCTTATCTACACAACAAGAACAAAGCCGTTTAAATCACTGCGTCTTATTTCAATTCATATTCGCCCAGCTTTGCAACTCCCAAACAGGCTGTTCAATAGAGAAGGAAACACTTCAATCACCTTTCAGACATTTTGGGTGGAGCGGAGAGGCAAGTCTTAGCCGGTCACAGGGCGTTTGGCATTTGTCGGGGAGTAATTTCACGTCTGTCACAAATAAGGTGATGACTTTGGTATAATTCAACACGCCAGGTTTCAGTCGAGCAGAAATAGGCAACAGTGCATGCAGACTGTAATGAAACTCAGTGTGGGGTTTAACAAGGATGCGTTGGTTTGGTAATCACAAGTGAACTTTGTTCTGTGTGTAATATTCATCCTCACAAACATGCAATAGAAATTCCAGAGCCGAAACATCATTTTATGACCAATGCTGAGTCGTGATTGGAGGGACATTCACTAAACTTTAGACTCAGAAACATGCAGACTTGTGAAGATCTCACATAGACTCATTGTCCGTATAGGCAAAGTGTGCAATTCCTATTCAACTAGTGGCAGCAAACGGAAATGCAATGGACCCTTTTACACATTATGTACATATGTACATTTATAACACTATACTTGCTTAATATTACTTTGGCACTCAATTACAGAAAACAAGTGAAGTCTAATACAATGGCTGAGGGAGTGACAGCAAATTTATCATCTTTCTCTCTTCTGACCAATGTCTCAATCTCTCAATATTTTTTTCCTCTTTTTCAAAGATTAAAAAATATGATCAAATATTATACATGTTGTAGTTTCCGTTCACCACTATAGATTTGCCAACAGTGATGACATCCGCTTCTGAAAACCAAGGAAATGAGAAAAGACTCAATAACAGTTAATCAGACCCGTTTGATAACAGTAATTATTTTTGTAATTCTGTTTAGTGCCACTAGTGGTGTGGAAATTACACACATCGGGCCAGATTTACTAACAGCTTGCACGATTACAAACCCTTTTTTGGCGTTAAAAATCTACTGTCAGGAACTAAAGACACACAGTAATAAATTACTGTGGAAACTTATTTTTGCGGCTGAGCTTATTGCTTATGCATTTGTAGGAGTTTCACTTTTGGACGCAACATTTATGGGATGATTACTAAGGTTTGCGGTAGTCAATTTATTGGTCTTTGTGCCATTATTTAACACACAAAAAAGCATGCATTAACCCATTTTGTGCTTGACATGTTTACGATAGTTGCTAATTTGTGCTGCTCTTGGTAGATTGCATTGGTCCTGGCCCTTACTATAACTAAGCCACTTATGACAATTAAGCCTTAACCTAACCAATACCTTTTGGAATTAAATTTTAAAACATTATGAAATTTTAGACACTGGAAATGGAAGGTCATGTCAAAATGTGAAGCAAACTGCATTGTGGGACATTTTTCTACACACATTCTAGCAATAGTAACAAGTTAACTATGCATACTGAGCATAGTATACATACTACAGTACTTGTAAAAGAAAAATGGTAGAATGCAATACCAAACACAACTAATTAGATCGACCCCAACCACAAACCTGCTCTCTAAAACCCCGCCCTCCAAAAATATGTCAGCCAATTGGATAGCTCCAAGGCGGTTGGCATTTCGGACTGGCTAAAAAGAAAAAAAAGTGTAGGCCACTACTGACTTTTTTTTGCACTGTTTACAGTCTAGTACTGTCAAAGACACAGATGTGACAACTGTTCACTGATACCTGTCAGGTTGTAGGAGTACTTTACACATGATATATAGTAATACACACTGGCAGTTTGCTTTAAATTCATCTTAGTTCCTGAAATCCATATGGTATGTATTGGACGGCTACCCTGCTTTCTAGATATTTGGCTTCACAAATGTTACCAAACAAGTATAGAAAGGGGGAGGAGAGCTCAAGAGTTAAGTCGATCTCTTTCTCCACTTGACTTTTATATATACTATTTAATTAGTTTCATATTTTACATATATTATGTATCAAATATATTAGATTATCATTTCATTAAATATATTTTATATATTACCAAAATCTTTTTATCAATTTATTCATCTTTCTGTTATTGAAATAATACTTACATGATATAAATACATTTTATATATTACCAAATTTCACTAGCTTTATCAATAGTGGTTTCAAATGAATGATATATAAAACAATTATTCATCTTATTTACTATTAATTAATTAATTTGCATATTTTACATATATTATTATATTAAATATATTAGATTATCATTAAATATATTTGATATATTACCAAATTCTTTCTATCAACCTATCTTTGTATTATTAATATAATACTTAAATTCATCTATCTATCTATCTGTCTGTCTGTCTATCTATCTATCATCTATCTAATCTTACATGTATAAAGTATAATTATATTTATTCTATATGAAAATGTAATCAAAAGCAAAGGGAATAGAAATGTTAAATGTAAAGACATTTATTTGGGGCTTGTACAGTGTATCAGTGTAACCTGTATCTTCTAACTTTACACACTCACACAAACAGAAAGAGTTGATGTATTATTCATACACTTTCCACGAAACACTCACCCGCCGGTTGCGTTGTTTTTCTAACCTTCATCTGAATTAAACTCTATACAGTTTTAATAACACACATTGTTTGGTGAAGTCCACATGAATGTTTATGACTTGAGTTTATTGTGGTTAAACTAGTCTGGTTCTCCACCAGCTATAAGCTGCTTAAACCTGACATTAATATTTCATGGCGTCTGTCAAAGGGGACGTGAAGTGGGTCAACATCAGACAGATGAGCGCATCAGCCATACGCTGCTGTTTACATTGTTCATAACACCCAAATCCAGAGAACTAAAGCGCTTCAAACTCAAACACACCCCCAATGACTGATATTGAGCTTTATCTATAATATCATCTCTTCCATTATCTAAGATTCAAATACAAATCAGTCACTTATTTGAATCATTTAATGTTTTGCAATTCAAAGCAGCAGCAGCGGCATGTTAAAAATCATAGCTGGGACATTTTACAGACCCGAAGCTTATGGAAGATTCCTGAACTGATCCGGTCCACACATATTTCATTATCTGGCATATTTAGTCATGCATGCTCTCAAAAGTTCCCACTGTAATAAATATTAACAGAACATGCCTCCAGAAACAAGAGGAACAACACATTTGAAAAATTGCAAGTATTCATATGACCAAAATGAGGAACATTTGGTTTAGTTTAAACAACAAGATCAAAAAAATGTCAGAAAGTATATTATTTATTATTTTTAGCATTATTTTATAATATAATTTATAATACTAAATTGTTATAATTGTAAAGCTAAATAATTCCATAATAAATGATAATATCTTTATAAAATAAAAATGATCAAAATACAATTACAAAAAAATTTAAATTTTTATTTTATTATGGTTATTAATAAAAATATTACACCAATTTCCATTAAAAAAATATTTTTGTCAGAACATATATTATTATTTGTATCAGTATTATATAATATTTATTTATAATTTATAATAGTAAATTGTTGAAAAATAATTACATCAAATTATAATATTTTTATCAAATAAAAATGCCAACATAAAATGATCAATTTCATTTTTTATTATGGTTACTAATAAAAATTGCATGCCAATTTTCGTTAAAAACATTTATCTTTGTCACAATATACAGTATATTATGTATTATCTCAGAACATACTGTATATTATTTATTGTTTATATTGTTGTTTTATAATATGTATAATTTATAAGACTAAATTGTTACAAAATAATTATATAATAAAATTATAATATTTATATAAAATAAAAGTATATAAATAAAATCATATAAAATAAAAAAAATTTATTTTATTGTGGTTACTAATAATACTACACAAATATTTGTTACAAATGTTATTTTTGTCACAATATATATGTAAAATATGTATTATTTATTATTTGTATAATTATTTTATCATATTTAATTATAATTTATCATACTGAATTGTTATGTAATTATTATATAATACTTTTATCAAACAATAAATCATTTAATTTTTATTTTATTATGGTTACTGATAAAAATATGACACCATTTTTTGTCAAAAACAATTTTTATTAAGCAAATTCATTGACTGCCATCTGTCTACTAGAAGCAGTAAAATGAGGTTCATAGTTGGTCTCTACAGGTGCAGTGCAGTGATATATACAGTAGCTGTGTTTTGCGTCATATCTGTTAATATAGCATGTACTGTATCATAACTGGAACGTTGTATTGACCAATCAGCATCCAGTCCTGGAACGATCCGTTTATAGAGAATAATTAAAGCAGATGTACAGTTGTTTCCCTGCAGCTGGTCTGGAATCAGTTGTACATGGTCATGTGCAGGAACTACAAATCAAGAGGAAAATGCATAAATATTCACAAGATAATAAATTCAGCTCTGACTCACATAACTGTCAATCATGTTGCATAAAGATGGTTAAGCCAGGTTAAACATCAAAGAGGTTCAGAGGAAGAAATATTGAGTGTGTGTGTGTGTGTGTGTGTGTGTGTGTGACTCAATGCTCTCATGTGTTTCATGTTTTTACCTGTCTGCTGTTTACTGAAATCACTCCCATCCCCGTCATATCAAATGACTGAAACTTGCCTGAACACAAAAACAACCACTTCATTATCATTTTTAATTATATATATATATATATATATAGTATTATAATTATAATATATATACATTTTCTTTCTTATGCAATGCCATTCATAAACTGAAAAACGTTGTGAAGAAACAATTTTCAGTCAGAAATTTTAGAGTAGAAAGACTGAAACAGATTTATTCCAATAATCTTTGTTTTATTTACAAAACATCCGTTTTTTACAGTATACTTTTAAATTGTACAGGTTTTGTTTGCATATTTTCAGATTTCATGTTAATTTTAATTAAAGTTTTAGTAATTCTTTTGTGTGTTTTAGTCATTTTTATTACTTAAAAATTTCTGTATAATTTTTTTAATTTAAACTTTTATTATTTTTATTTCTATTATTTTAAACTAAATGAAAAATTTAAAATATTGCCTTGGCAACTAGATGAAATAAAATAAGTTTATTTTTAAATATTTTAACAAAAGTTGTTTTATGGTTTTAGTTTAAATGATCTGTAATAATCCTGCAGTTCATCCTCGTGATGCTCCAAACCCATGTGACTTTCTTTCTTTCTTTGAATTTTTAAAGGGGTCATATGATGCGATTTCAAGTTTTCCTTTCTCTTTGGAGTGTTACAAGCTGATTGTGCATAGATAAGATCCCTGAAGTTGCAAAGACTAAAGTCTCAAAACCAAAGAGATATTCTTTATCAAAGTTAAGACTCTGCCACGCCCCCCTAAAACGGCTCGTCCTAACACGCCCCCAGTTACACCAAATACACAAAATAATGATCTTTAAAAAAGCATCATATGACCCCTTTAAAGAATATCCTGCTGCTGTTGTTTTGTTTTGTTTTATTTAAAGACCAGAAAAAGACTAGAATATTGTTTAAAAATTCTCCTTTTGTGTTCCATTTAACACAAAAAATGTCATACGCATTAAGAACGGGGTGAAATTGTAAATTGACTGATTTATTATTATTAATTTTTGCATCTTTATGTGTGGGTTTAGTGTTCACATACTATTTGTGCCGCTTTGCAGTAACTGTTTAATTTGACTGATTTGTGTGCTCTCTTACGCATCATGCAGTCCAGTTTCATGAGCAGGAAGAGGAATCCTGGGAAGCTGACGGTCATATCTGGCTCCGTGTAACGCAGGCCTATCAGCTGCACTATGAATTCATCCACCCGTATGCCTAGACCAGAGCAAACGAGCTCAGATCAACCCAATCATCAGCATTCCTCTCAATGCATTCAGACCAATGACAGCAGATGAATGAACAGGTTTCTCTCCTGACAGACGGGTGTGTGTGTGTGTGTGAGTTCATTCTCAATAAGTGTTGTGTCAGTGAATGCACATGCATGTTCAGGGTGTGTGTTCATGGCATGCTCATACTTGCATTTGTGTGTGTGTGTGTGTCATAGGTTTCACCTGCTGCTGTCAGAGCTGGTGGGATTTCTAGATAATCCAGTGCCTGGTTCTTGTTTTTGTCAAATGTCATAAAAATACCCTATAAAAAACAGACAGATGGGTGAATAATCATAGAATCAAGTCTTAATTTGATCTAAGATGTAGTCATGAATATTAATACATGCTTTGAAGCAATAATTACACAAGATTTTTTAACTCTACTTTTACGAATTGATGAGTAAAGAAGGCATGTTTTAGCTTTTTTGTTATTCATTTTATGAAGGTACTGTAAATTAAATCATTATACACACACATATATATACATAAAAAATTAAATATATATATAGATATATAATGTAATTATATTTAGTATAAAAAATAATAAATGAAAAAAATAAAACACTTGCATCTATTAAATAATGAAATAATATATT